ACTATTGGACAATGTGTAGTTGATTAATTTTGTATGACTTTTATTTCTATTTTCTAGTAATAAATTATTTTTATAACTTGGTTTTTATGTACAATTAAAGTTGCAGTTGTAACTGAAAAAATTATATGAAAATGAGTATATATTAAAAAACTTCAGTTTGTTAAGTAACAATTTTAAGCACAAGATCGCTGCATTTCGGTTCTTCTTGTTCCCCAAACTCTTATCTCTGGAGATAATTACCTGCGCTAGATTCACCGTTAATCGAAATACCAAAAGAGATTAGACATCTTTCACAATTATTATAAAAAATTGAAGTATTCGAGATGAGAGTAGCCTGAACACGATGGCCTGGATAAAATTATATAATTGCAGGCGATTAGGTAGGTATTTCAAGTGGGAATCTCTCTAAGATAACTGTTACTTACTCCATCATATGTGGTTGGATAGATTTAGATAACTATCTCGTGGCGAAACATGTTATTAATAATTCAAGTTTTTAATTTATGTCCGATAGACACAGTTTTATAAATACGCATTTTAGGAGTTTTATGGTACTATGGTCGTATTTTGCATATGTTGTTTAGAAAAAGTAAAAGTTTTAAATGTCTAATAAAAACTATTAATCAATAATTATATAAAATAATTATATAAAATAAAAATTAAAAATGGTCTAAATATCAATAATTTTACATTTTCATTAATTGAGCTTTACTAAAAGAATTTCCCCAGAAAACTACTTAGTCCTTAATCCCAGTTATATATTCAATAAGACTTTATATACAGGGTGTTAAAAGTTTGACTGCCTTAATTTTAACATGCGATAGAGTACATTAAAATAAACAAAAAAACCTTATATGACATGGGTCCTAAACTCGACCATTTCCGAGAAAAAAATTATCAAAATTTCCAAATTGTACAAAAGTTTGATTAATTAAGGAATATTGACATAAATGCTAAAATACAATGACAAACATTGTATTTGAAAAGTGATAAACACTTTTTTGAACTTCTTTATGCTTAACACGGGATAATAAGCTGTCCAGCAATACGCAATTCAGCTGGTGTTGGTACCTGGAATTGGACTGTGTCGGAGTGTTTTTTGCATACCACTATTTCCTTTTCTTGAGGTGTTTTAGAGCGAGTACACGAAAATTGGATTTTTGATTTGGAATTTTGCTTTTTGGTACTTAAATTATGATTATGAATTAATACGTATGATTATTTGGACGACGTGAATCTTTGGGTACTTTAATTACATATTTTTCAAAATCATAATTTGATTAAGAGTCAAGTTTCTGTTTTAAGAGACTCGTAGTTATTAAAATTCGAGCTAAAATTTAAGCGCAACACTACCTTCATTCTACAAAATCTATATTTTATTTATTTAAAAACTGCAAAACAATTGTCTTGAAGTTTACTAAATGTTTCACAATAATAGCTGTTTAAATTTTTTCCGTAGGACAAGACTGCCGCGTGCACACGTGGTGTGCATAAGCTGTGTAGCGCTGTTGTCACGTTGTGACGAAACTCCCCAATATTAATACTCGCTGTATTTTGAAAACTGTTAATCTTACGCCCATGTTAATATACAACTTTTTTGTTCATTTATGATTACTCTATCTCATGCTGAAGTTGAGGCAGTCATACTTCTTCCATCCTGTATTTTCAAATATATTTTGCGGAAAATAAAATTATGTGACTATATAATTACAGAAAATTATATTATATTAAAATTTTATTATGAGAATATAAGATAAAGTAAATAAATAAAACGTAGGTGGCAAATTAAACAAAAAATCGCTAATGAGTTGATTATTCAAATCAGTTTACAACAGAATTCCAGTTATTTCTGCTTTCTAAATCTAATTTCTGTGTAAACATTTATCTTCTAATAATTTGAAATATATTCAAATGACATTTTTCACATCTATAAATAGAAGCAGAAATTCAATTCACCGTCTGCGCTTACGGCTTCATTTATCTGCGACGTTAAAACAATCTAATTAACATTTGTCTTACACATTTTTGTTCGTTGTCTATGCTGCTCTTGTCGTATTAAATTATTATGGATTATATCAAACGTTTGTATAATTGGTTGAATAAATTTTCTACACGTTAATCATACGGTCTAATATCGTAACTTAAGTATTTCACATAGTTTATATGTTTATTTATTTTGAAAATTCCACATTATATTTTGTTACCTGTTTTTGTTTTTTACGTTTCATATACATACAGAAGAAATTCTAAAGAAATAACAGAAATACCAGAAATACTAAATTACGCGAATGAACAGAAAACTCACTTGTTTGGCTCATTTTTTGTTTGAGTTTGAAGCAATATTGATCAGAATGCTAATTAATGCCTGTGTGATCAAAATACTAATTAGTACCTCTAACCTTTACTGTTTACGAAATTATTTAAATTTCTTGTAATGCAACATGTTATGTCCTTTATTACGCAAGTATTATTACATTAATACACTTGAAATAAACTGTAAAATATTAATCAAATATCAATATTGTGTCGCGCTTCGTAAGTTTTCTAAAGCATCGACTTCCTGTGTAATAAATTAAAAGCACTTTAATTTCATCGCTTATAAGTAGGTTTATTTGTGTTTAATAGTTACAAAACAAAGTGCTAACCCACTTAGCCAGCCTAGTTTGCAATTGTAATGTTCCTACAGAGACGACGTTAAACGTTACTTATTTTGATATTCTATTTAAGGTATATTTTAAACTTTTTCTTGAAGTTATTGTCTATTGTTACTTTTACGCTTATTGGTAGTACCTAAACAATTATATGCGCAATATAAAATAAAAAAGCACAATTAAAGTGATAGAAAAGCTTAATTAACTTTCCATTATCAAATATACAGAGTGACCCATGCACTTGAAATTCACGTATTCGCACTTAAAAATATAATTGAACAAAATAACAGCCAGCTTGATTTATTTCGAAGGACGTGTAGATTTTAAATGCCGCCTGAGTTATATCGATGTCTATTGTTTTTTATCAGTTTTTAATTATGTTAATATACTAATCTATAGTCGATGGCTGTTTACATTTTTCTGAAACAACTTTTGTCACGAATTTGCAATAAATAATTATTAGTAGCGTTTCGTTATGTAATAAAATACGACGTCTAATAGCTACCTGCGCGCAATTTTTATAAATACATGTGTTTATCTACACGACGAGAAATTATGGTTGGCTTCAGCACGATTTCAGACAGCCACGAGGGTTTGACTGAATTTTGAAGTTCGGTATTTTTTTGTATTGCGTAGAAAAGACATTCTCTATTAATGTTGATGAATTAAATGTAAAATACAAATAAATATTTACAAGCCGAAATCGTATCCGCTGACATTTGAAAATCTGTAGTATATTATTTTTGACAAAGACCAATTTTCTTCGTAATTATGATACAACTCAGTTTGCCATATATATATTTTCCATCGATAAACACACCTTGCAATATATTTAAATATGAAACAGTTGAGTTACAAATTACACACACCTTTTGGCTTAAAAAAGTGTTTGCACAATCATTTACAAGATATCAGTTGAAAGTAAATCTAAAGTATGTTTCAATTATGGTGTACCGTTAAAAAAAATGAGTTACAATAATTGAAAAACTGGTAGTAGCATTCTACGGAAAAAAAATGAAAAGTCATTTCACGAAAATAAAGATGTCACAAGTGGAAACGACCTAAAAATGATATCTATCTAGATTTCAAGATGTTTTTTTACCCAATTTACAATTTACAATTCCCGAAAATCGGCCATTTTAAAATACACGTGACTAATCAGTAGAGCTGTCATAATTGACAGCGCACCAAAGGTGTGTGGATCATGAACATAAAATAAAGTGTGCAATGATTATAAGATTTAAGTCATTGTATCATTGTGAAACACGTAAATCCACAATCTGGATGGGATCCATTATAGATCGGATCATAAGGTATGTTTGTTTATCTCCTTCTGGGTAATATCGAAACGTATTATTAGAATTAGTTGAATTGAACATTGAACAGTGATATCAGATATCACGGTCCAGAGATTGTTGATAAAAGCTCTGCTACTATCTTTGCCCCTCCCAAACGGCGTTCACGACAATCCTGCGACTTTGTTGTATCTGTCATAGAATTCATAAACAGAGAAGATGACTTCTGTGAGAACGAAAAGATTATAATTCAATTAGAAAGTGATAAATACGTCTGTAATGAAAACTCATAGAAAATCCTATGGAATTATTCTTTAGTTATGGTTAAATAAGCGACAAGTTTACATTGTGTTTTACTTTGAACCATCTGTCGAGCAAAATACAAATATTTCGTTCTTCCTTTCTTCCATCGTTCGCTTTCCACCAGTTTTATATTTTAAGAATTTCAATTAGGCAGGCAATAATGGTCCCTACATAATAATGAAACAAACCGCGCTTTTCGATTTTAAATTTGTTAGTTTCTGGAGAAAGTTGGAATTGAATCACATTTCGAAGTTTCTAGTGGAATGCGATTACTGGGAATAAGTTAAATTTTAATGACAACTGGCAATGTAGGTACCCACTGTTGTCCTTAGTTATTTCCTAACTAATATTTAAGCGATTTTTTGTCCTTTTTTGTGTCTAACGCTGTACTTAATTATTTTATTTTGGTATGGATGCGTTTTCGTCCGAATTCGCACGAATGAATTTGGACACAGTGTACGACCTGCAATAGGTTTAACTAAAATGGGATCATTCGCTTTTCTTCGTCCGATTTCTGACAAATCCAATTCGGACGAAAACGCATCCAAAGGACGACCGGCCAAAAACCTAAACTAAACACGATGCTTCCGGACATTGCCAGGATTATTAGTTTTATAAACCACTTTTGCAAGCCACTGAGGACGAATTCGCTTAATTTTATTTCAAATATTCTAAATTTATTACCTATATATCTCTGTTCGTAAGTTTACGGATTATACACAATATTCTAAAATAATTTCTTTTGTTTCAGATGGCGGGGGAGTGTATATAAATTAGTGTGGAGAGAACTTTTAGCATATTTATTTATATATTACACAGTTAATTTAATATATAGGTTCGCATTAAACGAGACTCAAAAAAGGTAAGAACTTTTCAATCATTTACTATTTATTTATTTATTAAGCAACGTTTAAATATACTGAACTCTATTTATATGAAATTTTATATTAACTGCGATAGAAGGTTAAGTTTTTGAGTTTAGTATATACAGGGTGTCCCATAAGCACATGATCAAAAAGGTACTACGACATTCTTTGACTCAAAAGAAGACGATCTGACCTAACTTCCATTAACAAAAAATGTTTGGCACCTCTGCTATTGACTGTCATTTCTACAAAAAAATTATGTTCTTTTGTAATATCTGGAGAATGTTACTATGGATTTTAATGAATCTTGAATTCTTGAGTGTCTTGGTACAAGAATTACCAGAACTTTTTATTTGGAATCAATTAATTTTTTTTATTGATGCGTCAGTCCTTTTTCGAGATTTTCGTGTTCTTGGTAAAATCTAAAGTTAAGTCAGATCGTCTTCTTTTGAGCCAAAGAATGTCGCAGTACCTTTTTGCTCATGTGCTTATGGGAAAAAATGCAACAAACTTAATAAAATTCAATTTTTCTATTAGTACTTTAAAGATTTAAATCTGAAAACATCCCGTTTGATTTTCGTGCCAAAGAAAAAAAAAGAAAAATCTTTCTATGTTTTTCGTTGCAATTTTTGAGACATTTATGCCCATAAAAACAAATTTGAGATCCATGGCGAACTTTGTGAGTAATATCATAAAAAACCGGAAAAGTACCGAAAGTTTAGGATCGTCTAACTTTTTTATTTTATGAGATAGAGAAAACTTATTTTAATAAAATTTTATGGCAAAATTGATATCTTTCACCTCGTGTAAACAAATTTTTGAAGTATCGTATGTAAGATTTTTAACGTGCATCTTATATTAAGCGAGATCCATAGGAGTGGCCCTCTTATATTACACAGCCTGTATATTCCAAGTATCAATATAACCTTCACACTAGAACATCAAAACGAAGTTCTGTTCACTTCTTGGAACCACTAAAGTTACCATTATTTATTTTAAACAACTTTTTTGTATTGGCGGTTTTTCCATGTAAATCTATTTTACAATTAACCGATCTGTCTTTATTTAACCAACTTATCGTTAACGACAATATTATGCAAGCCAATTTTAAAAAGAAATAGAATGCTCCTGCATAATTACTAATTAGGTAATAATTATCTCCAGTTACTTACCCTTTTTTTGATTAGGTACTTTTGCCACATAAAATACATAGAAAAAAAATAAACAAATATCCTCGTGCCAAAAAATATCAGTTAGTGGATTAATTTTATTTTAGTTTTGCTTAAGTACTAAGAAAGTAGATAAAGTAGTTAATAATTTTTCTCCACTGTAACAAAAATGTATACAGAAATACCCATTCGAAAAAAAAACAGTAACATGTATTTATTTTAAACTAACATTTCGTACGATTTTATATGATTTGTAACTAAATGAATTGCATGCCTAATAGTAAGTAACTAATGATATTATATTTATTTTATATTTTTCAGGATATTTGAGACATTGCGGTTGTACTTTAGTCAACAAAGTGAGACGATACCTATGTCCTTCGTCCTGGGATTTTACGTATCGTTAGTTGTAAAAAGGTGGTGGGAACAGTACAAATTACTTCCTTGGCCTGACACTCTTGCCCTGTTCTTGAACGCGGGCATACCAGGCTCGGTAAGTACGTATTATTTTTTTTTTAATTTTTACTACCGCCCTGAAACATTTCCTGCTAACTCTACACGGACAAAAGTGTCCTCAATCAAAAATTAATTTATTGGTGGAAACAGAAGCTGTCAATTGACTCATACTAGTTGAGAGACAACGAGAATGTTATTATTAAAAAAATACCATTCGCTTCGGTAGAATCTATGAATAGTATAAGTTAAAACTAACTAGTCAGTAGATATTACAAATTTAGTAGTATCTAGACTAATACCTAAGTCAGTTTTTTACCACATTTATTTTAAACAAAGATAATAATGAACACTTTTATAAAATTTAGGGAAATTGTAATTAAGGGATCTGAAAAATTGTAAATTAAAAAATTATTTTGACTGATTCTTACTACCACCTCTTACTATTGCATCACAATTTTTAATTAGAATAGCCAAGTGTGTTGGTAAATTAATTAAAAACTTTCTTAATCATCGCAAAAATAAGCTATGCGTAATACATCGATCCAACTGGCTAAAAATAATAATTAAACGCTATGTTTCTCAAAGCAAGAACGCAAACGTGTTTAGAACTTGCAGTAATTAAAGATACCGACTCAAATTTAACATTTTTATACAGGACGTCGCAATATTCCATGTACATGGAACTACCACAGATTTTTTGGATAAAAATAAGATTTACCAAAACGTCGCTATTCAAAAGTACTGCATTTAGCCACCAGAAAGCTGTGCTAAGTTCTTATACATGGAATCTTGGGGCATCCTTATATTAAACAAATTATAATGGAACGTCATTAAATCCATCCAACGGGGAGTTTCATCAGCGTTATGCGGCGGTTACAAAACAAAACTTAAAAAAACAAATTGCTCTGCTAGATCATTGTGTCGATTGGGTATTCACCCCGACGTAGGGCAATGGATTGAGTTAACGGTACAGGCATATTAAGGTCGATATTATACGTAGAAACATTGTTTTGTGCAGTATATTGGTAAATTATTTTTGCAAGCGTATCACGAACGTATTTAGAAACAATAACCTTTTTACATGCGAGAGTATTGTACCGATTCTTTTATTATGTGTTACGAAATCACGTTATGTTTGTTTAACATACTTTATTTGCGCTGTTATATAATTGCCCGAGTAATATTACAATTTCGTCTATATATCTGGGCACCAGAAGGAGTAATTACGTTAGAGATCCGTAAGATAATAGTCCAAAAAAATTAAATTCAAAAACTTCGAGATATGGCCGTTGCTTGACGTAGATTAGATATTAGTAAAAATCAGTCGAAAATAATATATACAATGAAAATATAAATATGCACAAAGAAAAAAAGTTGTGTTATTTGCAGGAAAAATTAAAAACTGTAAAAATAATCAAAAACACGTATTTTTTCTCACATTTTCCATTATAACTTTTTAAATAGGTATGCAGTTTACAGAAAAAAACTATTACTGATGAAACTGTTATGAAATTTGATACAATATAGCAAAAACAGCCTAAGAAAGTGATGAAAATCGAGGTAATTTTGAAGCGTTCAACTGATAGTACTTTAAAGTATAACAAAATGAAATCCCAAAACCCGATCCAAATCGGTCTGATAGTTTTGGCATGAGACAACTTGCTACTAAATATCAGCGCGAAATGTCGTTATTTTTTTGCGTCAATGCTGGAGTTAAAGTTAGGCATTTTAATTGACGCTGATTTTTTTACACATACTTAGACTCCTTAACTATCATATAGAATCGTTATAATATCAATTTTCTTTTTTTTTTTAATAATTCTTGGACCAATTTTAAAATTTCGAAGCATTTTGACTTTATAAACAAATACTTTCGCGAAGCAGTTTTGCGGTTTGAAAAATATACCTAAGTACTAAAAAACAGTTCTCAGAAAGACGCTTAACTTGAAAAAAAGAACGTTCAAGTTGGTCGTATAAGTTCCGAGATATAGAGTGTCAAAGTCAACAAGCGCTTGCTGCAAAACTATGCTACTACTTAAAATTTCACACATTTCATTGTTGTTACATATTTATGTAAATAATAATAATATCGATGGTATTCACTGTTAATAGATATTAGTTTTAATAATGTTTAAAATCTTGAAATTTTTGTATAATATGTAATTTGTTTATTGTATACATACATGTAGAAAAAAATATAGATATAAATTATTCATTTATGTTTATAAAATGTGTTTATTATATTTTAATGGTGCTCGTTATCGCGACATGATAATCCAGTTTCTTATGCCTCAATTGCAAGAAATGGATGTATATGACATGTGGTTTCAAAAAGACGGTGCCACATGTCATATAGCCCGAGAAACACTGCAATTACTGCATGAGTCATTTCCTGATCGTGTAATTTCCCGTTTTGATGATTTTGGGACACCTTTTATGTCAAATTAAGTATCTGTACGCTTTAGACATTAAAGTAATTATTATGTAACTTAAGACTTAAAAGTTGAAAAATTCCTAAGTGATAGTAATGCAATAAATGTCAAATATACAAATGGATATAGCCGTAGTCTTATTACGTATAAAGGTACTTAAAATTTCGATATAGTTATCTAAATTCACTGACTCATCATCTAGATGTAATTGTGAAATCGTCTACATTATAATTTCTTTCTCGCAGTTGTGACACGATTTGTTCATCATTTATTTCTTTGCCACCTCTCAAGGGAAGTGCAATTATTATGGTATTTTTATGTAAATATCTTGATATCTTTAAATCATGGGTCAGTTGTCGCATAAAAAGAAGAAAGTCAGGATAAACGTTTGCAGGATAATTACCTTCGACTGCGGCAGATATCTAAGTCGGTCATAACCTTTTATAGATCTTTTCTTACCAAATACTAAAAGAACACCGTATCTTTCAAATGTTTATGGCTTGTTGGATTTCTAAATTTGCAAGTAAAGAACTGGTTTTAAAAATACTCTGAAATAGAAATTTCAAGTTGGAGTTAGATAACTGCAAATTCGTGGATAAAATTACATAAATATCATGTTGCCAATTACTCGTTACAATATTTAGGTACCAGATGAAAGTTGTTATAAATTTTAATTATGCAATGCACTTTAATATTTCATTGTTCCTTGCTGTATAAGTAAATAACCATAAATGGAAAACTGTACTCATTTTTATTATGTAAAAGTTATTACAAAATTTTACAGTGTTTTACTATTGTTTTCTGCTTGGGGTATGAATAATTTATTTTTTTAATACGAATATGCGTATCAAAGAAAAGATTCAAATATAATTTCACGGATAAGTAGCTAGTAGGTACAATTTTTTATTTTCCCCTTCGTATATGCTTCGTGTGCTTCAGTAGTGTCACTAAGTATATTTAGAGAGCTTCATTAACAAAATTTACTCATCGACTAAAAACGGGGAATCCTGTACGAAGCAATTATAAATTTATTGTTACGTCTTAATCATTTTTGTTCTCAACATAAGCTGGCATTTGCATAAAAACATATTTCGAAACAAACTAGGTACTATATACGATATTCTTTTTACGCCTTTTTACATTGTGGTGAAATTTATTTGTGCTACTTTCTAAATATTTTCTAGAATGATTGGGTATTTCGGAATTTCCGATGTGCAATGTCCCACACGCACACGTATGTTATGGTTGTTTTATTTAAATAACCCTCATTATTTTGATATCATTTTCTCTTGCTACAATAAGAATTCGAGGTTATATTTTATTATTTTCGACAAATAACTAATAGTAACCAATGATATAGTATATATTATTACTAATTTATTACTTTTTGTTGGTACAAATAATTCATTTGTTTGTGAATATTCATTCCCATTTAAAGTCTTGGTTCAATACGATCTTCACTGAAGGAAATGAATTGTTTATTGTTTTTCAATTCTTATTGATATTTTACTCAGAATTCTTAAAAATTTAGTTGCATAAGTAACAATAGTTCTACATGTTCTCACCAAAGAAGACAATTACTATTTAGATAAAATAGGTATTTTTTAAAATTCTTTAATCATTTTTGCAATTTTGAAAATGTTCCGGACCTCGCCCAGATCTAGAGATCTATGATTTTATTATGTGAGTAATCCAGGAAAAATTTGCTTGCCCCCTCTAGTCTGAAATAACCAAAATTAAATATAATTATTTTATGTATTGAGTTGGCAAGGTACGAGAAATACACACTATACTACACACACTCTTTGGCTGCTAAAAGTGACGTTTCACAAATTGGGGACTGACTGACTTTTAATCTACGGAGCACACTCATATATTTCACTTTAAATACAGAAATAATATCTTTATTAATGGATTTGGGCAAAGCATTAAATTACCTAATAACGTTGAAGTATTTGTAACCATAGTCGACCACAGATCAATTACAACCTTTTGTTTAATTAACTTACGAAATGAACCAAAAATGAGTGGACCTCGCTCTAAAAAAATAAAGAAATAAAGCGTATCCGGAAATTTTAGACAAAAACTTTTTACTTCACCTTTAAATAGTGTATTATTTTAATCCTTCCTAGTGAAATGATGTTGACGACGTATAATTGATACATTATAACAAAAATACTTAGTACTGTTGTGTTTGTAATACTGTTTGTATGTGTTACATGTTTCGTATTACTTATAATGTTTTTTTCACCTTGCAGAATGAAAGACAAAGACTGATGAGACGAAACATAGTTAGATATGCAGTATTAGCTTATGTAATAACGCTCCAAAGGGTATCTTTAAGAGTTAAGAAAAGGTTTCCTACGTGGCAACATGTCGTCGACTCCGGTAAGTTTTAATTTTAATGTTTATCGTTTACATTTATATACGTGTGCTCTTTTTAAAGGGTATATTCCGCTATTCCAGCATGTTTTAACGATTAAGTATTTCACTTGATTAAATATATCATAAAATTTATGTGGAAACGTAATTTAGCCCAGCAACATTGTCTATCGACACTTGACAAGTTATTAAAAATTAAATAAAAAAATTGATGATGTTGCGTAGGTATTATTTAACATTTATTAATGATTAAGGTGCATGACTTTTTTGTCGAAAAATCTTGCGTTAGTTATGAGATATTTCATCAAAGTAATTATAGGCAGGTATTTGGATTAATTTTTTATCATGTTGCAGAAAATAATGATATCAACTTGAATAACAAAGAAAAGGCTTTTTTAGATTTGATCTTAGATAGACCCTCAGTTGCTGTTAATAAACTATTAAATTGTTTATATTCAAAAGCTGCTTAAAACTTTCACTTTTCACTAATCTATTATTAATAAATAAGTATAAGAAATGTTTAAATTTTTTTGCATGCATGTGTGTAACACCGCAAATTATTTAACAAGCTCTTAATCTTATTCTAGAATCTCTTTCCAGTTAGGTACATCAGTAAACAGTAACTTTGTTATATTTTTTAATACAAACTCTATCTCGAAATCCATTGATTTTTGGGAAATTTTTTGTTCCAAACATTTAGTTGTTCCAATAGTTTCACAGACTTAAATTCCAAATTGAATGAAGTATGAAAAAAAAAACAGTAAAACAACAAACCTTTATTATTGCAATAAATGCTATTCACTGATTTCACTCTATTTTTCCTTGGATTTTAAAGGAAGTATGGCGACATTTAAAACGTCTTCAGAACAATTTTCTAAATTGTTTTCAGTAACAAGACTCATTTTTATAATTAATATGTAACTTAGAATCAATTCGACTCACCAAGATGAAACATAACTGGTATTATATAAATAAACAAAGTAATGCTACTGACAACAAACGATTAATTTTTCAGCAAATCAAGGAAAATACTGCTTTATTAACGACATAATGAATGATCCAAGAAAATTCACACGATTAGCATTAACAATAAAACAATAAATCCCTGGTTTGAATGAAGATAATAAATATTATGTAATTTATATAGGATTTAGATGCAAATTAAAGATTTATTTACAAGCGTAATCGGCGTGAACACCATTGGCAGGATGCACTCGTTTACACAGAATAAATTAGTTTCCGTTCAGACCTATTATTATTCGAGCTTACCGTGTATCCGGTTGAGTTACAAGTTTTTTACGACTTAAATTTAACACATATATCGAATATGGAAGTGTACCGAACGTTAATTATCTGGGATTTTAACCAATGAAATTTAATTATAAAATTATATATTCGAATTTAAAAAAAAATAGTAAGTTAATGGCTCCAGTAACTGACAGTTTAAGACCGCAACTACGAACATGTACAGCTTGTCCCCACTACAGTGACTCCAGAATTTCTTTGCGAGGGTACCGAGGCCCGCTCAAAGCTGCTTAAAGTTTCAGTTCGCGGTTAATGTATGCGTCATATAGTACGCGGGTAGTGTCTGATGTCAGTGTGAGGGATAGTACAAAGGCTTGAAGGATAAGAACAAGGCAGGTATTAATTTAAAGTAAATAAAAAACAGCTTCTTTACAACAAAAGATTAAAGAGTAAGATTAAATTTAACGTAATTTAATAGGTACTTATTATATTATCAAAACCTGCATAGGTAGCTAATAATGAGACTATCTCACAATATTGTTTTGTCTCTTGAAACACCTTTTTCAAGACGTAATGACATAAACTACTGCTCTAAACAAATTAAAATCACTAGTCAAAGAATTTTTAAATTAAGAAACGAAGTAAAATTTAAAAATATTTTTAATTATGCGAAAAATATTACTGGACTACCAAGTAAACGGGGCAAAAGTTGCGACAAATTAGAAATATTTTCGAAATATATTTCCCCTTAATTAAGTACCTACTCGTTTTGGGAATTTGCATGATTTAAATTTTTTTGCTTTAATAAATTCCTCAAAATTTCCCGAATATGCAAACAAATTTTCCGAAAAATCGTTTTAGTGTTTATTAGAAATGTATCCAAACGTGTTTGAAATACATAAGTTGAAAAACGAAATTAATATTTTGTACAGAGTGTCTTGGTTTCAGTTTTTCTACAATATTGTAAATGCAACGAAAAATTTCCAGATGCATTTAGTCGTTTGACCTTGAATTTTTTTCTTATTTCTTGCCCACCTAGTAAAAAAGTCACAGGCCTCCCCTAGATTTTCGCAATGTCACGAGCCGCCACTGATTAAAATAAATATGCACTAATAATACCTACAGTGTATTCCTAGTTTTGACTATTACTGCCAAATGTTATCTCGATTTGGGCCCGGTTTTCAAGGTCACAGCGGTTGGCCGCTTGTCCATTCACCTGCAACATTAAAATCACGCCAGACCGACAGGAATTAAATATTAATATCATTGAAATGTGATTCATGGATACTCTTAAATATTTCTAATGAAAACGTTGGAGTAAAGCCCCTTCGTGAAGGTGTTCACCAGACCCGAGCACGTTCCTAGAACATGTGTCGTGCCAGTAAATGTCTGCACATAAATTAGAGGAAGTACACGCAGAGCATATAAAAATGATTAAGTACCTTTCGAAGCTTAACTGGACTTTCTTAGACATCTGAATTCATTACGTAAAGTCCTTCACGAAGAGGCCACGGAGACCATACGTTTTATATACAGTGTGGCCCATTGAGAATCAGGATCACACCAAGAAAAAATTTTTTTGAGACGCACGATTCGAACGATATATACAGGGTGGTCCGTAAGTAATGGTCTATGGAGACCTACTAGATTTTTGACATATAAGAATGTTACGATTTAGGCTAACACACTGTAAAAAAATCAGCGTAAATGTTCCCATTATTGAGTGAGTTTAATTAATTTCGAATAATTTGAATGGCGCCGTGAAGATAGCACTACTTACATATTGCTTCTGTAAAATCGGCCACAGTTGATAGGGGCCCGTTAGATGCTCCAGAAAAGCGTGATCGCCAGGAGAACAGACCTTAGTCGGCGGCTGCGGGTCTCAGCTGGCGAGTCTCAGCCAGGACAGGAGGAGGCCACGCGAAGTGAATTAATTTCAGCACTGCATATCCTAATTAATCATTTATGAGCGATTTATTTATGCACTCAATATTAAGTTAAAAACCAAGAATGACTCAATAATAGTTAAAGTTAAATCATATTAGAGAAAAAGTCAACTCTAATTTGGTTTTATATACTCAGAATGGAGTCAAAAGTCGCTCAATTGATAGTTAGCAGTAACTCGGATTTGAGTAAAACTCACTCATTTCTGATGCAATCGTTTCACTCAGTTGTACTCATACTAATAGAGTGAATATTTCACTCAATCCGATATGGACAGAAATTGATACATTATTGAGTAAAACTGAGTGAAATTGAGTTATTTTGTTTACAGTGTCAATACACGGTAGTCATACTTACAAATACACGTACATACACGTATTGTGTGTATCTCTCTATTGCTTATTCAGTCTGGTATAGAAAGTCACTAATTGGTACTAATTGGTAAGGTATTACTTTTTTTTCGTCGGGTTTCAATGGATTAGACATAAGTCCTGATAACGGTTCAACCGTAGCTAACGGATATTTAACCTTGTTATTTAATGAAACTATACTAGTTACAGATACAGAAGACGCTGTATATACGGCAGTTCACCGTGTTGATAAAAAGAGAAAGAGTGAAATCACTATTACAAATAAATGTTTATTGGGGCATCAGGAAGCTCATAATTTATTCTATTAAATTAAAAACGATGACTGTGTTTTTTAATTTCTACTTTTCCTTCGAGCCTGCAAATTGATTCGTGATAGACGTTGAACTGGGCGGATATTAGAACAGTTAATATATCGGCATCAAAATTTCAGCGCGTATAATTAAAACATGCTCAAAAGCCATATCTAAGAATAAGTATGAAATAAGTATAACCTTTAAATATAAGCGAGATAATTTATTAGCTACTTTTACATACGAATATAATAATAAAGTGTAAGTGAGGTTGTTGCTCCTGGTATGTTTGAAAGTAAACTTAATTAATTGCGTCACGGAGATGTGCAAAAAAATATGATTTGGAATAGAATAACTTGGGAGTAGTCACTATTTTGTTTTAGTAGACTATAGGGTTATCATAAACAATTAGAGATTCAAATACAAAAAAGTTGCGCAATATTTTGCCAAACCTTTTAGTAGTCCCTGAAATATAATAAAAATTGTGGAAAACGCCTTTAATTGTACACAGTGACATATTTATTTACAAAGAAAATAACTCATTATAATGGTCAGATGGTCAGATTTTGTCTACATCTGTCGCTTTTTTAATTTCAGATCAGATTTGTTATTTTTTCTTCATATAACCATATTAAAGTCAATAAATTAAAGAGTTGATTATAAGTTGAAATCAGAATGATCGCAACAAAACAATTTTGACAATCCGGACATTGGCCTACTATGAGTTAATGTGAAAATTACATTAACACATACTTCTTTATAAAAGTGGATATTTGTTGAACTCACACTTTATTTTCTTCATTTAATCGAAATTAATATTAACTGGGTATCTCAAAAATATAAAATATCAGGAAAGTTTGACTGTAACATCATCACTGTGATCAGTGGGGTTTTATACACAGAAACCAAATTGCACTAAACTATCTGTACAAACAAGTGGGTTACAAGAAATGTGTGTTTTTAGTAACATTTATTCAATATTCAGATCTGACTTCAGGAAAAGTTTCAGCGAAATATTGTGTAATATTTGTACCACCTGCCAAAATATATCTTGCTCGCTGAACGTATGTTGGCTTAAGTGAATAAATAAATAAATAGATCTAACCAATTATATTGAATTAGAATCATATTCGTTAACATGTTAGGTACAAAGTTA